AGCCACCACTAGAGAAACCTGAGGGTAGAGAGGAGAAACCTACACAGGCAAATGAATCAGTTAGTCCTAGACTTTAACTCCTCCCCTACTGCCACACATGGGAATGCTATTATCGTTTTATTTGGGACAGTACTTTATTGTGTGGGACTTCTTCACGCGTATACATGTTTAGTATTCCCAACCCTTTGCCCTAAATGCTTTAGCAACGTGGTGTCATTACAGAAACCCCTAAATTTCCTTCACAGATTTCCAAATACCATTTTTGGTTGAGAAGCTGTGGTTTAGAGGATTAGATCACAAGAAGATGAGAGATCTTGGGAAAAACTGTGCTTGGGTGGAGGTACAGCAATGTCACTTGAGATCAATGTCACATTATGTCTGTGTGACAGATGGGAAATTGGGAAGGATATATCAAAATAGGCTCTTAGCCCTAAAGAACCCTTCTAAGAATCTCTGTAAACTTGCCACACCAAGGGCACAAGCTACAGCTTAGAATTTGGCTTATTCTCCTAGGGAGATATTACTGTTGATAGTAAGATAATCTCCAAGAAATGTGACATCACAGGAAAAATGAGACATCTGAAGGCACAACCATTACGTAAGAAAGGGAAAAATATGGGCCAGATAAACAAGAATTAGGTTTATCGCATCATTAGAGAGGGAAAAGGGGAGATACTTATTATCTCACTGTAAAGCAGAAACAAGCAGTCATAAAAAAAGAACCAGTTAAAGATTCTCAGTCTGAAATAAATAATACCTGGAAGTAATAGTCTGGTGCAAGAGCAGAATGCATATAAAAGCCCAATTAGTAAACTGAAAGATCAGGTTGAGGGACTCCCCCAGAAATCATCAAATAGCAAAGAGTTTAATGAATATGAAAGACAAGTTAAAAGATATAGACAAAGAAATAAACATGCCAATATCCATAAGAATGCCAGAAAGGTAGGGTAAAAACCAAGTAAACAAACTGAGATGCCACATTACATTCAAGTACATAGGAAAATCACAAGTAGAACACATACTGGGTCATAAGGAAAACCTCAGCAACATTCATTATTTAAATGTAAGTTACAATGAAATCACAGAATTTTGAGTGAATAAAAATGAAATTACTTTTATCTAATGGTGTAGCATGCCATCAACTTACACTGGTGGGAATATGTAAACATAGATATTAAATACTAGTAAGAATTAAGACTACATGAGCTAGATGTCAATGTCAGGAATAGAAAAGAATTAACACAGTAAACCTGAAAAAATAGGGAAATTATAAGTAGAAGAACAGATGTTAACAGGAAATAAAACAAAGAAACAATAATCAACAGCTAATAAAAAGCTAATTCTTAGAACAAAACTAAAAAGTGAGCAACTTTCCAATAAGTTTGATCCAACAGGAAGGATAAATATACAGATAATTCATTTAGAGAATAAAAAAAGGTATACTACAGCTGATACAAAGACTTTTGATATTATGACTATATCAATATATTTGCAAAGCTTGACCTAAGAACTATTTTCAAACTATATGACAATAAAATTGATGGGAGAAGATCTAAACTCAAAAAAGGTAATTACTCTGTGCACAGTGCCTTCCTTCCAAAGACTACAGCATGAGAGTAGGGAGAGACTAACTTAAACAGTAGAGAAACATGACAAACATGACCTCAGCCAGGTGATCAAGGTCAACATCAATAGTGACAAATCATATGCATCCTTGATATGTGGTGATACAAAGGACACTTCACTGCTGTAGTCTTCTTCTCTAAAACCCATAAATTCAATCTAACCATGAGAAAAATACCAGATAAATCCCAATTGATGAACATTTTATGTAAAATGCCTAATCAATATTCCTCAAAACTAAGTCATTTAAAAACAAGTGAAGTATGAAAAACTATTAAAGCCAAATGGAGTTTAAAAAGACATATCAGCTAAATGTCACATGGGATCTTGGACACACAAAAAAGACATTAGATTAAAACTAAAGAAATCTGAATAAGTACAGTTTTAGTTAATGGTAGCATATCAATATTGGCTCATTATAACAATATACCATAGAATATGTGTTATAATAGTAATATATACCACATATATTTATATAAATAATGATGTTAATAGAAAAGTGCAAAGTATTTGGGAACTTTGTACTATCTCCCTCTTTTTTCTATAAATCTACAAGTGTCTTAAAATTTAAGCTGATGAAAAATTTAAAAATGTAATTATTAAAGAACACGAATTCACAATTAAAAAAAATCCCTCCCCAACCTGTACCACAAGGCACAAATTTTACCTGATTTTTACCCGATTTTATCTGTTATAAAAATTATTCAGAAATAGAAAAAAGGCTGAAAGTTCCTCAAACTATTTTCTGAGGAAAGTAAAGAAAGAAAAAATTAATTTCACCAAGGGACAAAGCTGAATTATCTTTTTATTATTTATTTTTTTTTAAATTTTTTTCAATGTTTTTTATTTATTTTTGGGACAGAGAGAGACAGAGCATGAACGGGGGAGGGGCAGAGAGAGAGGGAGACACAGAATCGGAAACAGGCTCCAGGCTCTGAGCCATCAGCCCAGAGCCTGACGCGGGGCTCGAACTCACGGACCGCGAGATCGTGACCTGGCTGAAGTCGGACGCTTAACTGACTGCCCCACCCAGGCGCCCCTGAATTATCTTTTTAAAATTTTGTTAAATTTTTTTTAATTTTTTTTAAAATATGAAATTTATTGTCAAATTGGTTTCCATACAACACCCAGTGTTCATTCCAACAGGTGCCCTCCTCAATACCCATCACCCACCCTCTCCTCCCTCCCACCCCCCCATCAACCCTCAGTTTGTTCTCAGTTTTTAAGAGTCTCTTATATTTTGGCTCCCTCCCTCTCTAACCTCTTTTTTTTTTCCTTCCCGTCCCCCATGGGTTTCTGTTAAGTTTCTCAGGATCCACATAAGAGTGAAACCATATGGTATCTGTCTTTCTCTGTATGGCTTATTTCACTTAGCATCACACTCTCCAGTTCCATCCACGTTGCTACAAAAGGCCATATTTCATTCTTTCTTATTGCCACGTAGTATTCCATGTGCCCCAAAGCTGAATAATCTTAAATAGATTACTATCCAAGTGAATTCTGTTAATATATAGGAGAAGAAAACCATGATGGCTTAGTTTTGTCCCAGGAAGACAATGATGGACATCCATTGTATTTTCCCAGGAGGGACCCATTCAGAATCCCAGGGTTCACATGGAGGTGATTTTAAGCTGAAGACATTTGAGATTTGATGGATGCAGACAGAAACCTTCTTGGAGCATCCCTTATCTGACTAAAGGCAGCAACTTCTGGGAAATGAGGCTACCACAAATGTCCCTCTCGGGAATTTTAATGGCCATGAAAAGGACAAAGAGCACCTGCATAAACCAACATTATCACAAACTTTCTTCTATCCTATTTGTTCTCCTCAAAAACAAATGGTCTTTTCTAAAGAAACCTTTTTGTTCTTCCCAAAGGCTGCTCTCCCTCCTCCCCTTTCTCTAATAAATTAGAAAGATAATCCTCTAACTTTAAACATTTGAGAAGACTGCTACTTTTTTGTTGGCTCCCATATACACATATATAAACCTTTTCCTCATGTTCTTCTGTCTTTTATGAGTGTAATTCACAGGACTCTAGTTACTAAATATGAGACAACAGAGGAACAGTTTGTCCTCCCTGACCATCACATTCACATTTAGATGGAGGAAATGTGGTCATTTCAATTGATGCTTAAAAAGCATCAATAAAATGCAGCACTCATTTATAATTAAAAAATAAAACAATGTAAAAACGACCTCTCAGAAAACTAGAAGTCAAAACTTGACTAGTACAATAAAGAGGATTTATTAAAGCCCTACATCCAATGTGTTACACTTACCTGTAAAATTTTACAAGGATTTATACTAGTTAGCAATAAATTAAAATTGTTTGTCATCACAACTTTTACTTAATATTTCCCTGGAGTTGTAGCAAAGGTAGGAAGACCCAAAAAGGAAGAAAAAAAAACAATGACAGATAAGACAGGAAATGAGAAAATTGCCTGTTTCATTAAAACACAGAACTCTATATAGAGAATCCACAAATTATTAGAAGTAATAAGAAGATTGATTAAATTATTTGATACAAGATATAAGTGAGTTAAATATTGTCTCTCCCAAATTCACATCCACCCGGAACCTCATATGGTGACCTTATTTAGAAATAGAGTCTTGGCAAATATAATTCATTAAGGATGTAAAGATGAGATCATTCTCAATTTAGGGGAGGCCCCAAATTCATTGAGTGAGATCTTCAAAAAAGAAAAGACAGAGAAAAGGAGATCCGTCAAGTCCGAAGTAGAGATTCGAGTTATGTTACCACAAGCCAAGGAATGCTTGGGGTCACTAGAAGCTGAGAGAGGCAAGGAGGAGTCTTCCGTGAAGTCTGCAAAGGGAATGTGGCGCTTCTGACACCTAGATTTCATGCTCCTAGCTTCCAAAACTATGAAAGAATAAATTTAGGTTGTTTTAGCCACACAGTTTGTGGTACTGTGTTATGGCAACCCTAGGAAATTAATCCACATATAAAATCAATCGTATTCCTAGGCAGTAATAATGACCAATTGAAAATTTATCAGTAACAATTCTATTTGCGCTAACATATAAAATTAACACCAGATATAAAAGATTCTTATGGACAACACTATGAAGCGTTAAAGGACATAAAGGAACACTATGAAGTGTTAAAGGACATAAAGGAAGGCATAAATAAATAGAATAGTAAGTAATGTTTATTAATAGGGGGAATATAACCAGTAGTATTTACCAGCACTTCCTACCCCCTACCACTATGTGGACAGTTTCTTCTTTTATATTATAGTTGCACTTTTACTTTTGTTGTTTCTTTTAAACTTGGATTGGGCCTCCAGAGCGACCTCTCCAAACCCCAATTTCTGTGCTAATGCACAAAAGGTGTCAGTTCACTGGGGAACTGCCCCCTATGTGGAACGCTTCATGAATTTGAGTGTCATCCTTGCACAGGGACCATGCTAATCTTCTCTGTGTCGTTCTAATTTTTGTCCGTGTGTTGCCAAAGTGAGCACTATAGTTGCACCTTTAAATTTTTTTTAAGTTTGTTTTTTTATTTACTTATTTTGAGAGAGGGAGGGAGGGAGGGAGGTCATCCTTATTTCCATATCTTGAACTATTTATAATTTTCCCTCTTCAGTAAAATGCTGTAGAATTTTGGAAGATAGTTTTTGAAAAGATAAATGCTCTTTTCTATTTCAAGTATTTTGGGGAGTTTTTATCATAAATAACTATTATAAATGAATATAAATAACCTTATCAAATGCTTTTGTGCATCTATGAAAATAAGCATTAATTTTTCTTAAATCCCTTATTGGGATTTCAGTGAATTACATTGATAGATATTTTATTTTTAAAAGATCCTGAGAGAAATCACATTTGGTCACAAGGTCACGATTACTTCACCTTATAAGGGAAATTTATTTATTTATTTATTTATTTATTTATTTATTTATTTGAAAAACCTGGGGTATAAAAGTGAACTCTCATTAAGTAATATAGTTACTTAATTTCAATAGGAAGATACTTTAAATATTTTTAGCATCAAAATGACATCCATTTTTACTATAATGATACCAAATACCATTAAAATAGACGCAATTACTTCAGTAGTTAAAATTCATTTTGGGAATATAACCTGCCAAGGCATTTTTCTCTATATTAATTATATAATAGTTCTTATCTCCTCTCATCAAGGAATTTTCTTTTTAAACCATTACACATTTACCCTTAGGAATATGCTAACAAAAGAGGTGTTATACATGATTCTCAACATTTGTGTAATTCAAACTTTAAGGGGAAAAAAGAAAATCCAAGAATTAAAAAATAGAGCAAAAGAACTTTGTGGAAACAAGGCAAATGGTACCACACTCACTGCAAAGGTTGGCAAATAAGGGGCATCAGTTCTGAGATTATGTGTGCTGTAAACCAGCACATGTGCCCTGAAATGAGAGGCACCAATAGAGGGTTCATCTCATGGAGCACACCTGCTGCCAAGAGGTCCTAAATTGAAAATAGCCTTTATAAAACCAACTTTAATATCCCTAATCAAGTTGGATTCTTATAACCCGAGTGGTTGTTCATCACTGTTAGAGGTGTCTTATCTTATACACTGATAGATTTGGCTAACTAATGTTTTACTTAGGACTTCCATATACCTATGTTCCCAAGTTAAATAAGCCAGTAATTGTCTTTTATTGTATGGTCTTTATCAGCTTTGGCATAAGGTTTCATAGGATAAATTGCAGGTTTTCCCTTTGTTTTCTAAAACAACTTGTGTAAGATAGGTTCATCTCTTCTATAAAAAGTTTGATAACTGTCACTTGCAAAAACCATCTAAATCTAGTGTTTGCTTAGAGAAGAAAGTCTTTAAATACCATGTGTATTTTCTTAATGCTTACCGTTCTAAGCTTTTTATTTCTCCTTAAGAGAAGTAAAATTATGGAATTTTATGTTTTTCCAAAAATGTATCATTTCCCTTAGCTTTCAAGTTTGTTGGTTAATAGGTTTATAACATTCCCTCTTAGCTTCTGGAATGTGTGTGTGTGTGTGTGTGTGTGTGTGTGTGTGTGTGTGTGTATTCTCATTCTGTAGTTCATTAAGACTGTCAATCAATTTTTAAGAAACATTTTTTTTAGTCTTTTCACAAAAACCTTATTTTAGTTTTGTTAATACTCCCTATGGCATAGTAAAAAATATATTGGTTTCTGTACCTGGTTCTTGATACAAAGTTCCTAAAACTTCAAATTTCTTGAGCGATATAAGTGCTTTTTAAGAAATTTTTTTCTTGATGTTTATTCATTTTTGAGAGACAGAGAGAAACAGAGCATGAGCTGGGGAGCATCAGAGAAAGGGGGAGACAGGATCTGAAGTAGGCTCCAGGCTCCGAGCTGTCAGCACAGAGCCTGATGAGGGGCTAGAACTCACAAACCGTGACATCATGACCTGAGCTGAAGTCAGACTCTTAACTGACTGAGCCACTCCAGGTGCCCTGAGTGTTTTTATTCATAATGAGCCCCTTTAGACCACAACTGAGCTTATGATAACAAGATGATTCAGGGTAAGGTCCATAGATAGCCTCAGGATGAAGACTAGTCACCACAAAGCCTAAACACATGATTAAAGAGTGGGAGCTTACAGTCCTCCTGGGGAGGGAAAAGGGCTAAAGACTGAGTTATAAAAACTCCTGAACAACATTTGTAGAGCTTCTGGGCTGGTGAACACATCAGAGTGCTGAAAGGGTGGTACATCCAGAGAGGGCATACAAACTCTGATCTTCCTTCTCATACTTTGTTCTGTGCATTTCTACCATTTGTTTCTTACTTGTATCCTTCATAATAAATAGGTAATAGTAAAGTGCTTTCCTGAGTTCTGTGAGGGGATAATAAAATAAGGGAATAATCAAATAAGGGGGGGGGGTGTTGTACAAACTCCCAAATGTATACTGGTTGGTCAGAAATACAGGTGGCCCTCGAGACTTGTAACTAGTATGTGATGTGGGAGCTGCCTTGGACTAAACCCTTAACCTGTGGGGTCTGTGCTAACTCTGGATAATTAGTGCTAGAATTGAATTGTCAGACACCTAGTTGGTGTTGGAGAAGAGATTGGTATGTGGGTGAATGACATATTTGGTGTCAGAATAAAACCATACACTCTCCATTGCTTTTTGGTTCTCTATTGATCCTGGTTTTTTTGTTTGTTTTTCTGACTTGCTTGTTGGGAATGTCTTCTCTGTCATACTTAACGGAGCAAGGCACAATGGATTCTAAGACCAGGAGGAAGTCTAGAATGTCTGTTCTTACTCATCTTACTGACAGTAAACTTGAGATTTAGGAGCAAGGCTGAGAGAGATTCCAAAACATGCAAAGCCTGCTGAAGCTGTGGAAAGGGTAAGAAAGCTGAGCAACTTTACTTGGAAGCAGTCCAAGCATTCACCAAATTCACTGCAGTGGCCTGCCAAAGTGAGGGAGATGCAGAGACAGGGGAGGACTGAGAGAAATCCTTCCAAAGCTCTTCAGGCTACATTCATCTAGTGTTTATCAGTGATCTCCAAAGGTTATAGATGAAGCCCCTGGCTATAGAGGATTCTATTAAGGGGCAATAACCTGAGAGTGAGACTGGAGAGCCAACAGAAATCCCCAGAGACCCAAAGAAGCTAGCATCATGAAACAGAAATTAAATGGCTGGTTTCTAAAGCATGGAGGGATCTATGGAGTCTTATGCATGATCAAGACCAACCTGTATTAGAAATCTCTGATCCTGCCCTCAACATTTCTAAAGCAAGTGATGAATGGACTGAAGCTTAAGGTGTAGCAAAGCCCTGGGGTGTCTTGATGATTCAGGTGGTTAAGCATCCGACTCTTGGTTTTGGCTCATGTGAGTTAGAGCCCCAAGTTGGGTTTGTGTTGACAGTGTGGAGCCTGCTTGGGATTTTCTGTCTCTCTCTCTCTCTCTCTCTCTCCCTCCCTCTCTCCTACCTGTACAGTCATTCTCTCTCTCATAAACAACAAACAAAAAAGGTGTAACAGAGCCCAGATATGGCTCAACTGCAGATTAAATTGACTCAATCCTGCATTCTGGTAACTTGACAGAAGGAGCATGCCCTTTTTAGAGAGGGAGTAAATATAATTTATTTCAATATCTACTATTTATTTATACAAAATGTCTGATACAGAATCAAAAATTACAAGTCACATAAGGGAGACTCAAAGAAGGTCTGTTTGTTGGAATCATTAGATAGGTATTTTAACATAACCATGGCAAATACAGTAAAGAATACAGGGGAAGAAAATTGGACAATGTGAATAGATGAGGGAATTTCAGCAGAAAGATATAAATTATTAGAGAACCAATTATTTTGATGGAACTAATAGATGGAAATGTTAAAAATGAAAAAAATAATGCAGACATGAAAATTTATTTGGAATTATAGCAGACTGGACTTAGAAGAAGAAAAGAACAGCAAACTTGAAGACAAGCCAATAGCAATTATACAAAATAAAAAACCAAAATAAGAAAAGCAAAAAAACCCAAGAGAATATCTAAGATCTGTGGGGCAGTATCATCTGGACCAGTATACAATTAGAGGACTAAAAAAAGAAAACAGATATTGGCAATAAATATCTCTGAAGGGATAGTGATTGAAAACTTTCTAAAACTGATGAAGTACTTCAACCTACAGAAATAAACAGCTCAAAAATCTCCCAGGAAAACAAAACAAAGACTTCCTTAGCCAGGCATATCATGGCCAAACTGTTGAGAAGCGAAGATGTCAAGTCTTATAACAGCCCCCCAGGAAAGACACACTACATACAAGGTGTATTAGGTCTCCTGAGAAACACAATCTATAAGAAACACAATCTATAATACATTGTAGAGTTTATAGCAAAAATAGATAACTGCATGAACAGTGCACAAAGGGTAACAGGGAGTAAATAGAATGAGACTGCTGAAGGTTCCTACATTAATCATGAAGTAGCATATTCCTAGAAAATAGACTGATAAATTAAAGATTCACTTTAGGGGCGTATGGGTGGCTCAGTTGGGAGAGCGTCCAACTTCAGCTCAGGTCATGATCTCACAGTTTTTGAGTTCAAGCCACAAGTCGGGCTCTGTGCTGACAGCTCAGAGCCTGGAACCTGCTTCGGGTTCCGTGTCTCCCTCTCTCTCTGCCCCTCCACTACTCATGCTCTCTCTCAAAAATAAACAAGCATTAAAAAAAGATTTACTTTATAGAGTAGGGGTGAACAATTTCTTTTGTTATAAAGGATCAGATGGTAGATATTTAAGGCTCTACAGGCCAGAGTGTCTCTCTCACAAGTATTCAACTGCTCTGGTGTTGTAGTGCAATGTGCGAACAACCATAGATCATATGTAAACAATAAAATTTTATTTCGAAAAACAAACTGGGGCCATTTTTGGCCTGTAGACCACAGTTGTTATAGATGAGCAACCACTGATTCTAAAATAAAGAGGTATAGCTAAAAATTCAATGAATCATGCAAAGACTTGCAAA